ATTCAACTTGCTGGAACTCATGCCGGCATCTCAGGTACTAATATTCTCAAGCTTCTGAACAGGGCCTGTGTCAAACTCCTAATTTTGCCATGAAGACCAGCCATGCCCTCCTCGCAGGCTTCAGCAAAGCCATGCTGTAGAGCACCCAGCATCTACTGGGGCTTCAGAAGTGGAGTCCTGGCAACAGCAGGCTACTTTGCAGCAAGGTAATTTAACCCCTTCTGCTCTCCCAATTCCTGCCTGTTTATCCCAGCTGCCTTTGTTCTCTGAGGGTTCCCTTCCTCTACTTGATTCCCTGGTGCCTTCCTTTTCCAAAATAGCAGAGGAAGTGGTTTCTCAGAATTTTATGTCTACCCCCTCTGTTCCCCCTTCACAGGTGTGGGCTTCCGTTGGTAATGTTTCTATTCCATTGGTGTTTCCTAGTTCTCACTTGTTAACTAACATTTCTTCTTTTCTTTTTCTTTTGATTTAATGAATCACTCTGTTCCTGAAACTTCGGTTAGAGAAGTATTACCCTGTAAAATATAACTGGCCTCATGCCTTTTTTATTTTTTCCAGCGTTATGGGTGAGAAATTTCTTGAACACTGTAATGGTATCTTTCAGCACTTAGAAATCATCCTGGAAGCTTATAAAAATTCTAGAGGCTTAGGTTGGTTCTCTTATGATGAATATTTTTGGCAGAAGTTGGCTGTTAACCAGAACCTTAAAGTGGGAATGAAGTATGTTGGCTTCTGGCTTAACTTAAATGTTCCCCAGAAGCCTTTTCCTTCTGACTGATTGCCTTCTACTACTAACACAATCCCCTTACTGGAAAGGGTCCTTATTATGCTCTTAATTAGGGCCAGTGTAAGTGGAATGCATCTTGTCGCTACAAGCATGAATGCTGCTTTAGTTCTGGCCCTTGTCCCTTGTTTAGAAGTTTTAAAAAAACCACTTCTAACACTATGCGGAAAGATATTTTACCCAAAGGTCTGCACTCCTGTGAGGTTGGAAAAAATGCTGTATTGGTTGTTAATTTTCCCAGACAAGTAAAAGGCCAACATATTATTAAAGGATTTACTCATGGTCTTCCTTTACCAGAATTTTCTGGTACTCATTTTTCTTTGGTATTTGTCAAGAAATTTAGTGACATATTCAGGGAAAAAATATTAAAGGGTTGAAGGAAGGACAAGTGGTCAGTCCCTTCCTTTCTATACCTTTTGGTAATTTCTGTGTCTCTCCTTTAGGTATTGTACCCAAAAAAGAACCCAACTCATTTAGATTAATACACCATTTATCTTTTCCCAAAGGAAATTCCTTGAATGATGACATTGATGCTTCTCTCTCCTCAGTCTCCTATTTGACCTTTGAGGATGCCATCCATATTATAAAGAATGTTGGTAAAGGTGCTCTTCTTTCTAAGGCGGATATTAAATCTGCTTTTAGATTAAATATAACAAAACAGTGTAGCGCTATAGATAAATATATAATATAAAATGATAGAGTGAGTATATCCAAACCCCCCCCCCCCCCCCCGTGCACACAGGGGGTAAAATATATAAAGTGCAATACGTTAATTCCCTATGGGAGTAGATTAGTGCAGATGTGACCAGTGTCCTATCTGGCACTCGTGAATGACACTCAGTACACACCAATAAATTAAAGAAACATAAATAAAACCAACATAATCATATATGAATCCACACAAAATAAAATAAAATGTCCAATAATAGTGCTCAAAATTGAATGCTCATGCAAGTGATGGTATGTGTTCACTCCGTGCGAATCCTTAGTGGCCAAAATGCCCCCTCACCTCCTTATATCGACCCTACAGGGTCAGCTCGCTCTGAGTATTACACCGCTCTGAGTAGTACCAGGATACCTTTCAGGTCCACTTCAAAGTAATAAGAGCTCCAATCCTTCCATATATTGCACAGCCAACAATATTCTCTCCGGATCATAGATAAACAAGAAAAGACTCCATAGTGTAATCAGTTTAATGGTGTATAAACAATATACAAAATGCCCACTCACATGCTCCTTTGCATCTGACACTGCTCATTCACTTCATTCTAGAGGTGTACTGCATGGGTATTCTATACAGAAGTTTCAATATGGCCCCCACGCCGGAAGGGACGTCACCGCGCACCCGGAAATGCCTCCTTGCGTACTGACGCGTTGCGTCACGCTGGTCACGTGACTTCTTCAGGGTAATTCAGGGGATTGTTACCTATATCTTCTTTCTTTCAACTCTCTTGGTTTTTGTTTTGTTGGCCTTTATTTACACTGGGTTGTTTCTTTTGAATCTGGTTTTGACAGTATTGTACATTATTTAGAGGATTTTCTGTTTGTAGGCCCTTTTGCCACTGTCTCTTAAAACTTTTTGGAAGCATCACTGATTAACCTGACATCCCTCTTCCGGTTGAAAAAAATAATTTTGCCATCTGTTTCTCTTGATTTCTTCGGTATCACCATTGACACCTTCGTTTTGGAATTCGGACTTCCTGATTCCAAAATTGCTAGGTTGAAATCATCTATTTCAATCTTGCTTCACAGGCATAAAGTGTTATTAAAAGAGCTTAAATCTTTACTCTTGGCTTTTGCTTCCAGAGTCATGCCTGAAAAAAATGTTCCCGTTGTTTGTCTATTGCAACAGCCAGTCTCAAATTCCCTTTCTCGCATATTCATTTATCTAAAGATCTTAAAGAGGATCTGTTAATTTAGTTCCATTTTTTTAAATAATACAGTAGTAGATCAATTTTTCAGGAATACTTTGTCTTTGCCGCAGATTTAGAATTATTCACTAACGCTGCTGGCTCTACGCGGTTTGCAGCCATCTAGCACTCCCATACACTCTGTGGTTCTTGGCCTGATTCTTATGAGGAGAGGTGTATGTACCTTATTATAGGAGAGGTAAGTGACAGGAGGAGAGGGGTGTACCCCGGACATTATGAGCAGAGGTAAGTGATATGAGGTTTGTGTATCCCGGATATTATGAGGCGAGGTAAATGATATGGGGAGAAGGGTGTACCTCAGACATTATGAGGTAAGTTATGTGGTTACCCTGGATATCAGAGTTGGCTCTGGGTGGAGTCCAGCCATCCCATGTAGAGGAGATATTCCTGGGCTGAGGGTGAAGCTGCTGTAGCCTCTATGAGGGTAGAACTGACAGATATTGCTCCTCTGGTGATTGCAGTCAAAGAGGAAGCAGCTGAGGCCCCATTTATGAAAAAAAAAAAAAAATTGTGAAAAAATGGGTCCCTCTCAGGAGCTCACTGCATTCAAGCGTGGTACCGTGATAGGTGGCCACCTGTGCAATAAGTCCATCTGTGAAATTTCCTTGCTACTAAATATTCCACGGTCAACTGTTAGTGGTATTATAACAAAGTGGAAGCAACTGGGAACAAAAGAAACTCAGCCACAAAGTGGTAGGCCACATAAAATGACAGAGCGGGATCAGCGCATGTTTAAGTGCACAGAAGTCGCCAGCTGCCTGCAGAGTCAATAGCTAAAGACCTCCAAACTTCGTGTGGTCTTCAGATTAGCACAACAGTGTGTCGAGAGCTTCATGGAATGGGTTTCCATGGCAGAGCATCTGCATCCAAGCCTTACATCACCAAGTGCAATGCAATGTGTAGGATGCAGTGGTGTTAAGCATGCCGCCACTGGACTCTAGAGCAGTGGAGATATATTCTCCGGAGTGATGAATCATGCTTCTCTGTCTGGCAATCCAATGAAAGTGTCTGGGTTTAGTGGGCACCAGGAGAACAGTACTTGTCTGACTGCATTGTGCCAAGTGTAAATTTTGGTGGAGGGGGGATTATGGTGTGGGGTTGTTTTTCACACGGTTGGGCTTTGCCCCTTATTTCCAGTGAAGGGAACTCTTAAGGCATCAGCATACCAAGACATTTTGGACAACTTCATGCTCCCAACTTTGTGGGAACAGTTTGGGGATGGCCCTTTCCTGTTCCAACGTGACTGCGCACCAGTGCACAAAGCAAGGTCCATACAGACATAGATGAGAGTTTGGGGTGGAGGAACTTGACTGGTCCTGACCTCAACCCAATAGAACATCTTTGGGATGAATTATTATGCAGAGACTGCAAAGCCAGGCCTTCTCATCCAACATCAGTGCCTGATCTCACAAATACACTTCTGGAAGAATGGTCAAACATTCCCATAGACACTCCTAAACCTTGCGGACAGCCTTCCCAGAAGAGTTGAAGCTGTTATAGCTGCAATGGGTGGGCCAACTCAATATTGAACCCTACAGACTAAGACTAGGATGCCATTAAAGTTCATGTGCATGTAAAGGCAGGCGTCCAAACACTTTTGACAATATACTGTATATGATGTTGTGGGGGTTCTAAGTAATTTTCCAGCAAAACAAAGTGTTTAAAATGTGTCTACATATCTTGTCTGCCCAAACAGAAATATTAAGTGTCTGTTGTAACTGTCCATACATATAACTGTGTGATGAGCATGGCTCATCTGTCTGTATCCAGGATGGAAGAAATCTAGGATGGCAGCTGTGGTATAATCTGTGTGTACAAGCAACAGATGAGTGGCTGGATGTGATGTCATTGTGTGGAGGGGGATGGGGAGATGTGGGAGCTGTCACTGGTCCAGGGTGCTGATTCCACCTTGTAGGACAGATCCTCCTCTTCTCTCCATCCTCGGGATCCTCAGTGAGGAGAGGCGGGGTGAGGAGCCATGATCTGGCCTCAGGCTGATCCCTACCATCGTGTTCCCAGGACACCATGATCCCCGCACCTCTCATCTAATCACCGGATCGCTCTCCACCCTCAGGCCGGCACCATGTACCCCTTCCCCGGGTACCAGAGCCCGGTGCTGGGGGTCAGGCCTCTGATCTCCTGTATCTACCTGCTCAGCCTGCTCCTGTGCTGTGAGATCGGGGGGTGCAGGAGGGTGTCCCAGGGCTCCCCGGCCCCACAGCTGACCGATCTCCGATCCCAGATCTCCGGGGTGGAGGAACTGCTGGAAGAATTCCGCAAACAGCTCCAACAACAGAGACACAAACAGGAGGAGGAGGAGGGCGGCTGGGCGCAGGAGCGACACAGACACGGCAATAGCCGGGATGGAGATGAGGCCGGGGAAGGCACCGACGAGGAAGAGGAGAGCATGCAGCAACAGCTCCAGGAGGTGGCGGTCCGGCCGGCCGGGGATATGGGGGAGGATCTGTGTAACTTCAACCAGTTGGAGGACTACATCATCCGTACCAAGGACTCCTTGGAGGCCGGAGCCACCTTCCTGAAGGCTCCCGGGGAGGTGTACAGCTGGAGGCGGTGTCTGGAGGTGTGCTGTACGGAGCGGAGCTGCTCGGCGGCCGTGGTGGAGAGGTCGGCCCGGGGCCTCAGCTGCTTCCTCTTCGACTGCATTCACCGGGGGAGGAATGTCTGCCAGTTCTCCCCTCATAGAGACTACAGCAGCTTCACCCTCAGCGCCAGGAATGTCTCCTCTACATGGGATGGCTGGACTCCGCCCAGAGCCAACTCTGATACCAGGGGTAACCACATCACTTACCTCACTTCATACTCCTATGTCCGGGGTACACCCTTCTCCTCATATCACTTACCTCTCCTCATAATGTCAGGAGTACACCCCTCTCCTCATATCACTTACCTCTCCTTATAATGTCCGGGGTACGCCCCTCTCCTCATATCACTTACCTCTCATAATGTCAGGGGTACACCCCTCTCCTCATATCACTTACCTCTCCTCATAATGTCAGGGGTACGCCCCTCTCCTCATATCACTTACCTCTCCTCATAATGTCAGGGGTACGCCCCTCTCCTCATATCACTTACCTGTCATAATGTCAGGGGTACAACCCTCTCCCTCATATCACAACCCTCTCCTCATATCACTTACCTCCTCATAATGTCAGGGGTACGCCCCTCTCCTCATATCACTTACCTGTCATAATGTCAGGGGTACACCCCTCTCCTCATATCACTTGCCTCTCCTCATAATGTCCGGGGTACGCCCCTCTCCTCATATCACTTACCTCCTCATAATGTCAGGAGTACGCCCCTCTCCTCATATCACTTACCTGTCATAATGTCAGGGGTACACCCCTCTCCTCATATCACTTACCTCTCCTCATAATGTCCGGGGTACGCCCCTCTCCTCATATCACTTACCTCTCATAATGTCAGGGGTACTCCCCTCTCCTCATGTCACTTACCTCTCCTCATAATGTCCGGGGTACGCCCCTCTCCTCATATCACTTACCTCTCCTCATAATGTCCAGGGTACACACTCCTCTCCCCATAATGTTCGGCCGGGGTACACACTCCTCTTCTTGTAATGTCCGAAGTACACACTCCTCTTCACACAATGTCCAGGGTACACACTCCTCTCCCCGTACTGTCTGGAGTACACACTCCTCTCCACGTAATGTCCAGGGTACACACTCCTCTCCCCATAATGTCCAGGGTACACACTCCTCTCCCCATAATGTCCAGGGTACACACTCCTCTCCACGTAATGTCTGGGGTACACACTCCTTTCCACGTAATGTCCGGGTACACACACCTCTCCCCATAATGTCCGGGGTACACACTCCTCTCCCCGTAATGTCCGGGGTACCACACTCCTCTCCCCGTAATGTCCGGGGTACACACTCCTCTCCCCGTAATGTCCGGGGTACACACTCCTCTCCACGTAATGTCCAGGGTACACACTCCTCTCCCCATAATGTCCAGGGTACACACTCCTCTAATGTCCCACTCCTCTCCCCATAATGTCCAGGGTACACACTCCTCTCCACGTAATGTCTGGGGTACACACTCCTTTCCACGTAATGTCCAGGGTACACACACCTCTCCCCATAATGTCCGGGGTACACACTCCTCTCCCCGTAATGTCCGGGGTACACACACTCTCTCTCCCCGTAATGTCCGGGGTACACACTCCTCTCCCCGTAATGTCCGGGGTACACACTCCTCTCCCCGTAATGTCCGGGGTACACACTCCTCTCCACGTAATGTCCGGGGTACACACTCCTCTCCCAGTAATGTCCGGGGTACACACACCTCTCCCCGTATTGTCCGGGGTACACACTCCTCTCCCCATAATGTCCGGGGTACACACACCTCTCCCCGTATTGTCCGGGGTACACACTCCTCTCCCCATAATGTCCGGGGTACACACTCCTCTCCCCATAATGTCCGGGGTACACACACCTCTCCCCCGTATTAAAGTGACACTGAACAATATCCTTGTTCTCCCCAATAATCTATACTCATCCACTACTTAATGGCCTTGTTTTATTTATTAATTTTTTGTGAAATTGTATCTTGCTGTGCTTTCCTGCCTCCCTGCAATGTCTGTCGTGAGCTACTGAACCTCACCTTTTCCTGCTCACATCTGTTTGACTGGAACAAGACGTGTGCTTAGCCTGCATTCACACCTGAGCAGAGAGCATTCCGGGTGAATTTCAGGTGTATTACAGGCACATGTATCAAACTTCGGGAGTTTGTTTCCAGGGCTGGGCAAAGGGAAGAGATCAGTTCTATAGGAGGAGAGGAGTTCAGGTGTACAAATGTGTGCAAAAGCATATAGCACACATTTACTCTGCATTCACACTTAGTATTTTGCAATCACATCATGTGATTTCATGCATGTTTATGGCAAGCATGAAAACCACCTGTCATGCTTGTGTTGGCATTTATTGTTAACGGTGCCAAAAACATGGTAAAATGTGCGGTTAAAAAATACGGAATACAAATGTTATCACCCTCAATGCCAGTGACTATCAGCGGCGCTTTCATATAAATGCATTAAAACCTATCAACAATCTCTGTGTATATTCATTGCCTTCCTAATTGTTCACACAATGTAAACGTATTAGTATACAAACTATATATAAAACAAATATAAATCAGCAAATTATATGTGACAAAAATCTTATATGACATAAATTATAGTGCTCAAAATCAATTATAAGTCCCGTGAAACAATATATACAAATAATAAAATAGTCCAAAAAAAATCTTCCACAACGTGAATCCTCTGTGACCGTTAATCCCAGTGAAAAATGAATAAAGCACGTGCTGTGCCTCTTATGTACCCCCTCTCAGGTGTGCACTCACCAGAACATAGCCTTTGATTACCCTTCTATATAAATTCCAGATACTAGGATCACCAGAACACAGCCTTTGTTCCATCTTACTGTATGGATTCTAAAATGTTGAGACCGGGAGGTTCCTCCAATAATCACCCATGATAAGAATGGTAGCCAGGATCATAATACATACTCCTCTCCATAGTTGCATAGAAAGAGAAAACATTTGCTCCAACAATGTATTACCCAAGGTAAACAACTTTAATATGCCAAAATATTGCACTTACAACATTAACCACCTCCCGCCCACCATATATAGTAATATGACGGACGCAAGGCGGTTCTCTCATTCTGGGAGGACATCATATGGCGTCCTCCCATTCTAACCGCGCATGCGCGGCTCCCGGAGCGTGCAGCGCGGCGATCGTCAATGCGCTGTGTCCCTCGGACACAGCGGATTACTGATCAACGGAAAGAGCCAAAGATGTCGGCTCGGTTATGTGATCAGCTGTGTCCAATCACAGCTGATCACATGTAAACAGGGAAATGCCGGTTATCGGCATTTCTCTCCTCTTGAGCTGTCACTCTGACAGCTCGAGAGGAGAGCCGGTAATCGGCATTCCTCGGAGGGGACATGTACACAGATCATCAGAGCACTGATGATCAGTGTGCCCTGATGATCTGTGTAGCCCCAGCAGTGCCAGCTCTCAGTGCTCATCCATGCCACCTGCCAGTGCCACATCAGTGTCCATCAATGCCACATATCAGTTCACATCTGAGCTTCCTTTCAGTGTCACCCATCAGTGCCAGTCAGTGCCACCTATCAATGCCAGTCAGTGCCACCTATCAGTGCTGCCAATCAGTGCCACCTATCAGTGCCAGTCAGTGCCGCCTACCAGTGCCAGTCAGTGCCGCCTATCAGTGTGCATCAGTGCTGCCTATCAGTGCCCGTCAGTGCTGCCTATCAGTGCCAGTCAGTGCCGCCTATCAGTGCCAGTCAGTGCCACCTATCAGTGCCATATATGAGTGCTGCCTTTCAGTGCCCATCAGTGATGCCTGTCAATGCCCATCAGTGCCACCTACCAGTGCCCCCTCATCAGTGCCCATCAGTGCCACCTATCAGTGTCCATCAGTGCAGCCTATCAGTGCCCATCACTGCAGCCTCATTAGCGCACATCAGTGAAGGAGAAAAATCACTTAATTACAAAATTTTATAACAAAAACTAAGAAAAAACGTTTTTTTTTTTTCAACATTTTCAGTGGTTTTTGGTTTAAGAAAAAATAAAAAACCCAGAGGTGATTAAATACCACCAAAATAAAGCTCTATCTGTCACAAAAAAAATATACAAATTTCATATGGGTACAGTGTTGCATGACCGCGCAATTGTCATTCAAAGTGCAACAGCGCTGAAAGCTGGAAATTGGCCTGGGCAGGAAGGGGGTATAAGTGTCCTGTAGGCAAGTGGTTAAAAAACTAGTTAAGCCTTTTAAAATTAGCATTCCAGTGAGACAGATACCGCTGGTGCTCTCACCACCCCCCCGGATCTGCTGGACAGAACACCGTCACGTCACTGCTGGTTCCAGGACTGCGTCACTTCCGTTCCGCTGCACCGTCACACCCTGACATGTTTCGTCGTATTCAGACTTGATCTCTATAATTTATGTCACATATGATTTTGTCACATATAATTTGCTGATTTTTTTGGTTTATATATAGTTTGTATACTAATACGTTTACATTCTGTGAACAATTAAGATTGTTGATTTTAATGCATTCATATGAAAGTGTCGCTGATTGTCACTGATATTGGGTGTGATAACATTTGTAATAAGTTTTGACATAGCATTTAAAGTGGCAGCTAATTGGTTATAATAATATTTAAGAATCATCGTTTAGCGCGATTAAGTGATTATTTGGATATCTATTGGGTCACTCTATCAATTAAAAAATACGTAATGCTCAAAAGGTGCATTAGCCATGTTACTGCATTCTGATGCATGTAGGGCAGCTCATTAAACTGAATGGCCTGACCTGAGCATGCGGCCCAGAAATGCACATATGTGCGTGTAATTTTGCAAACTTCTCAAAACACCAAACGTGAATACAGGCTTAAGGCACTCCCATTGAAGTATATGGGGCTAAAAACGCCTGAATGCAATAAAAAGCCCTCATACTTTCATACTTTCTTTGAGCGTAGGGAAGCTGTGTGTACAAGTGTGAACTGGGACAACACGAAGGAACGGGATTCTGAAATGTTGAGCTTAGTCAGGAGTAGGGGAACAAGCTGAAAAAATGGCCAAATGTGAAAGGAGGTTGCGGTCATGTGCACTGCTCTAAGGATGCTACAAATCCCATAATCCATTTTGGGAGTAACCAAGAGATGGTGGCTATGTTCTTACATACAGTGAGACCATATACAGTTGCAAGAAAAAGTATGTGAACCCCTTGGGATTACGTGGAGTTTTGCATGAATTGGGCATAAAATGTGCTCTGAACGTCATCTAAGTCACAACAATAGAAGAACACAGTCTGCTGAACATAATACTACACAAACATTAGATGTTGCCATGGTTTAATTGCACATAACATGTAAACATTCACAGTGCAGGGAGGAAAAAGTATGTGAATCTTTGAACTTAATAACTTGTTGACCCTCCTTTGGCAGCAATAACCTCAACCAAATGTTTCCTGTAGTTGCAGATCAGACCTGCACAACGATCTGGAGTAATTTTGGACCACTCCTCTTCACACAACTGTTTCAGTGTAGCAATATTCTTGGGATGCCTGGTGTGAATCGCTCTCTTAAGGTCATGCCACAGCATTTCAATCGGGTTGAGGTCAGGACTCTGACTGGGCCACTCCAGAAGGCGTATTCTGTGCTGTTGCAGCCATTGTTTTGTTGAATTACTTGTATGCTTTGGGTCATTGTCCTGTTGCATCACCCATCCTCTGCGGAGCTTCAGATGGCGGACAGATGGTCATACGTTTTCCTGCAAAATGTCTTGATAAACTCTGGAATTCATTTTCCCATCAATGACAACAATCCGTCCAGGCCCTCAGGCAGCAAAGCAGCCCCAAACCATGATGCTCCCTCCGCCATGTTTTACAGTGGGGATGAGGTTTTGATGTTGGTGTGCTGTGCCTTTTTTTCTCCACACATAGTGTTGTGTGTTCTTCCCAAACAGCTCAATGTTGGTTTCATCTTTCCACAGTATATTTTGCCAGTAGTGCTGTGGAACATCCAGGTGCTCTTTTGCAAACTTCAAACGTGCTGCAATATTCTTTTTGGACAGCAATGGCTTCCTCCGTGGTGTCCTGCCATGTACTCCATTCTTGTTTAATGTTTTCCTTATTGTAGATGTGTCAACAAAAATGTTAGCATGTGCCAGAGATTTCTGCAGGTCTTTAGCTGACACTCTGGGATTCTTCTTTACCTCATGCAGCATTCTGCGCTGTGCTCTTGCAGTCATTTTTACAGGACGACCACGCCTAGGGAGAGTAGCAACAGTGCTAAACTTTCTCCATTTGTAGACAATCTGTCTTACCGTGGACACATGAACATCAAGGCTTTTGGAGATACTTTTATAACCCTTTCCAGCTTCATGCAAGTCAACAATTCTTGATCGTAGGTCTTCTGAGCGCTCTTTTCTGCGAGGCATGGTTCACATCAGACAGTGCTTCTTGAAACCAGTAAACCCAAAACAGGTGTGTGTTTTTTAAGGGCAGGACAGCTGTCAGCAACACATCCAATATCATCACACTGATTGGAGTCAAGGTTGGCTCACTCCTAGCTCCAATTAGCTCTGGGAGAAGTCATTAAGCTAGGGCCTCACATACTTTTTCCTCCCTGCACTGTGAATGTTTACATGTTATGTGCAATTAAACCATGGCAACATCTAATGTTTGTGTAGTATTATGTTCAGCAGACTGTGTTCTTCTATTGTTGTGACTTAGATGACGTTCAGAGCACATTTTATGCCCAATTCATGCAAAACTCCACGTAATCCCAAGGGGTTCACATACTTTTTCTTGCAACTGTAGAATGAATGTAGCCACCCTCCAACAGGAAGTTGGATCACAACACTTTTTCAGCTAATACATACTTGAATAGAATACTCATTTCTTTAACCAGAGTTAACCACTTGGCTCCCGGAAGATTTTACCCCCTTCATGATTTTTTGCTGTTCAGCACTGTGCTACTTTAACTGGAAATTGCTCAGTCATGCAACATTGTACCCAAAATAAATTTATACCATTTTTACACACAAATAGAGCTTTAATATTTATTCACTACTTTTTTTTTTTTCTATATAAATGAAATAATATCAAATTAAAAAAAACATGTTTTTGTTTTGTTATAACATTTTATAATATTTTGTTATATTATTTAAAAAAAAATGTGAAAATAATCCTTATTCATAAATTTTATCCAAAATGTATTCTGCTACATTTCTTTGGTAAAATATAACCCAAATCAGTGTATATTATTTAGTCTGTGTGAAATTTGTAGAGTCTGCTAACTAGGATACAGTATATTTATTTGAAAGTTGATCAGTCCTGATGATCGTACATGAGATGAGATGGGCTATCTCATCTCATGAAGCCCTAAAATGTTAGGACAGTACAGTACCCCCAAATAACCCTTTTTTGGAAAATACACAGCCCAAGGTATTTAGTAAGAAGCACGGCGAGTTTTTTGAAGATGTAATTTTTTTTTCTTCACAATTTTTTTTATTACTGTCACCAGTGCAGTACCGCACCATCATATGACTGGTGTAGCGGTGATCAGGTTTACCATGCACAGCTGCTCCAGATTCTTGTTGCTCTTTTTTTTTTTTTTGCAGAATGAGGGGCTCCAGAATATCAGAGTGGAAAAAGTTGTATTTTAATCTTTCTAAGCAATAGTTTTAATTGTCATGAATGGCTTTCAGTCATGACAGCTTGCTTACTATTGTGATGCTGTGATTGGCTATAGCTAATCACATGGTAAAGGGTGCCAGGTACCATGTTATAGCTGTGGACCAATCACAGCATTACACCTCTCCCCGTAATGTCTGGGGTACACACTCCTCTCCCCATAATGTCCGGGGTACACACACCTCCTCGTAGTTTCCAGGGTACACACACCCCTCCTCATAATGTTCGGGTTACACACTACTCTCCATGCCATGATAGCTTGCTTACTATTGTGATGCTGTGATTGGCTATAGCTAATCACATGGTAAAGGGTGCCAGGTACAACGTGATAGCTGTGGGCCAATCACAGCATCAAAATAGTAAGCAAGCTGTCATGAATGGATGCCATTAATGACAGTTTTGCTTACTGTACATTGTAATCATGTGATTGCTATGGTTGGTCATAGCAATCACATGATACCCCAGGCGCTCACAGCAGCCGGGTACCGAGAACCATGATCTACTGTGTCCACCAGATACAACAGTTCTGGAATTGCACTGCTGCATGTGTCAAGTGAAGTATGGGTACATTGCGGTGCCTGTAGCTGCCACCTGCCCACAGTAAATGTGGTTAAATTAGATTGATTTACCTGAAGTGAATATCTGACTGTTGTCACACTCACTCCTTTAGAAATACGCCCCATACAGTATAGTAGATCTTTTTAGAAAATAATTTCCTGTGAAAGTACTTACTGTACCTGACACACAGAAGAAGCAACAAACACAGGCACAGGAAAATCTCCCTAGCTCTAAGTTAATTATCAATAGTGCCATGATATGCTAGAAATCCCAGATGGCATAGCAGATGGTGATATACCACACACATTACACCATTGTATTATTTGCACACCAAGTCATAACATAAATATGTTTTCAATATGCTTACAGTACTTTACTGGAAAAGCACAAAGCAGCTCTGCAATCTTTTTCTGGTTTCTGTAATAGGACCAAAAAGCAGCTTCCAGTTTTATATAGGATTCATCTGTATCCATTTAGTTTGTCATTGCTGGTGTTGTGTGCATCCACGTGCTGACTTCCCATTGTTGTCTATTGGAACATGCGGGGCAAGGACAAAAATGCTATGTCCCAATATGACATGCGGGTGCCAATCCCCAAACTGATCCTGTGTCCTTGCATGTCATATTGGGACACAGTGGCTGTATCCGTACAACCGCTCATCCCAATAGACAATAATGTAACACTGGCAAGGGAATGCAGGGCAACATCTGTGCATCCCTGTGCTGGAAAATGATGACCCTGCATGGGGCATGGAGCTGACTGCTCCATGTGAATTGGGCCTAGCATCCCCAAAAGGCCTCACTCAAGCAAAAGTGGATACTCTGTTCCTCTAAGATGGTGGTTGGCCATGGGCTTTTAACTGGAAAATCAGTTGGACCAATTATTTGTATCAAACAAGGAACATGCCCTAAGTATAGGGATAATACCCAGGATTTTACTGGATTTGCACTTGTTTGCAAAGAAATTAACATATAACTGAACTTTGTTTTGTTTTAGATAGAGTGGAGAGTACTGTGATCACCAGAAAAGTAATAGAGGGGAAATCTTCCAATGAGAACACTAGTTCTGGTGACCTGGGAGTCCCCAAGGAATTCCCTTAACTTACAGGGATTTCCTCTGACTTCTGGTTTGGCTATGAGACAAGAGGTGAAGGGAAATCTCCGCAATGGGAAACAGATGGTGAAAGAAAATCTGACCGGGTTATTATTATTATACAGTGTTTATATAGCGCCAAAGGGTTTGCTCAGCGCTGTACATTAGTGAGGGGGACAGAACATGAGACAATACAGTACAATACAATACACGAGGGGTTCGAGGGCCCTGCTCGAAATAACTCTATCCACTACTCTATCCAAAATGGAAAAAAAAAAAGGCTTTGCCTATAGTTCTACTTAATCTTTGGGGCTGAGAAATGAAGTTATACAAGTTTCACACATGTACAAAATACCTTATTTGCATAGATTAAAGTAAAAATAAAAAAAAAATGCTTCTTGCTAGTACAATTTTCTTTTGTTTATGTTTTATGTTGGGTGTCCATTTTGGCTGGGAATGTTACTGTTTTGTACTCTGCAGTTTATTTTGCATTTTTACTTTAAAATGGAACTGAACTGAAAAACTGAATGTTTGCTATATAGTTATATAGTTAGTCTGGCTGAAAGAAGACAAAAGTCCATTTAGTTCAACCATAAAAAAAAAAAAAAGTTGTAATCCTAAACCCACAGTTGATCCAGAGGAATGCAAAAAAACCCAGCAAAGCATGATCCAATTTGCTCCTACGGGGAAAAAATTCCTTCCTGATTCCCCAAGAGGCAATTGGATATTCCCTGGATCCACTTTACCTATAAATGTTAGTATCCAGTTATATTATGTGTATCTACGATACAGTCCAGGCCTTTTTTAAAGAAATCCACTGAGCTGGCCAGAACCAACTCTTGAGGGAGTCTATTCCACATTTTCACAGCTCTTACTGTGAAGAAACCTTTCCGTATTTGGAGATTAAATCTCTTTTCCTCCAGACGTAAAGAGTGCCCCCTTGTCCTCTGTGATGACCTCAGGGTGAATAGCTCTACACTGAGTTCACTATACGAACCACTGATGTATTTATACATGTTGATCATATCCCCCTTAATCTCCTCTTCTCAAGAGAGAATAAATTCAATTCCTCTAATCTTTCCTCATAGCTGGGCTCCTCCATGCCTCTTATCAGTTTGGTTGCCCTTTTCTGAACTTTCTCCAGTTCCCCAGTGTTCTTTTTGTGAATTAAGCTTGTGATCTATCAGAACACCCAGATCCTTCTCCACCATGTTATAGGGAACATCTAGAAGTGTTAATTATTCCTGAGTATTACCCTGAAAAATATGAGTGTGCTAGGCACTTCTGTTCCTACAGGCTCATAGCCGTATAGCTGCAGTATGAGATCTAAGGCACTGCAGCCCATGACTGCTAATCTCAGGAAATTTGAGTAAGATTTTCTGTGGTGCTCATAACTCTCCTTTCATGGAAGCTCTGACATGAGGAAGGCAAACCCCGCCTCTACCAAGATGGTCATCACAATGCAGAACAAGGCATGGTAAGTCAGTGGTGGGAAAAGATAAGCTGTAGGAAGTTCCCTTGTAGTACTGAAGACTATTTCTTTGCCATCCACTTGCCTTGTTTTGCGCACAGGTTCAGTTCCTCTTTGAAGAAGTTCAGCTTGATGACAATTTGTTATTTTTCAATAAAAATAACGTTAACATTTCCATGTTGTTATAATTACATTCATAGCAGAGAATGACAAGCCACCTACCAGCAATGCAGGACAAGATGTGGTGCTCCCAGCTGCCTGTTGACTGGGTCATACTGGATGGACGAGAAAGCACTGATGACCATGCCATAGTTCGCTATGAATGGACACTACTCCGAGGAGACCCATTAGTTGACATGAAGGTACTTTGACTGGTTTGACATTTTTTACAGGACACAGAAAATATCTGTGAAACACATATTAGTCCAACAGAATGCCCAATACAAAAGGTATTTCAGTTATTTGCTGCCTGATGTTATCTCTTTCAATATATTTTTTATTGAAACGTTTTAAGAAATATAGTGTGTGACTGCGATCAGATATACAGATAGAGATATAAAATCAATGACTTGCAAGTCAACTGCAGTTGTACATTAAGCAGAGAAATTGTAGCAAATAACAAAACATTTAGCATATCAAAGAACACATTATTCATGCCATAACAAAGGAGAACTGCCTGATAATGTTTTAGTGTCTTTGGTGGTAATAATGTGGTTTCATAATTATGCTTATAGGCTATACGGCATGCTACTCTCACATTGCAATGTCTGTCCAGTATATATATGGTACACAAAGTTCTTTATGATGGACTGAACATATCAGGGTATACGTACGGGGGTTATTAAAAATGTATGGAAACATTAGGGTGGATTCACATCTATATGTGTCTACTTTTGTGTGCTTTAAGTGCATTTTTTAAAATGCGTTGTAGTGCATTTTACTTTTGTGTTTTTACTATACTGTTGGGCACAGAAAGATGTGAAGCAGGCCTTATAAAGGAAGAGTTAAACTCTGAAGTAACTAAATCACAGTTAAAGATTAATAAAAATAGGTAAATTGAAGTGGGACTTTGACTATACCCCCCAGGATTCACAAAGATTGTAGAAATAGAAAATAAATTATATTTAAAATTACAAAATGTATTGAATTTACTTATAAAAAGATTCACCTATAAGTGCAAGCATCTTTCCTAAGTATAAAATTGGTCTTATTACATAGTTCAATGCATTTCACAATTACCCTCGCTTCAGGACCCGAGAATATTTTTACTTGGAAGTACACATAATTCAAAATATAAATATAAGAGAGAGAGAAAAAAAAAAACACACAAGCGCTCAAGTCAGTGAGCATCCTGGGACCACAGTAACAGTCACTTGCTGAGGTGCAGCCCTCTAAAGATCAGGGAATCTTGATAATACTGGAAGAAAGCAAAGAAGGGGCCCACTCTCCTCGTGCATTACCGTGATACAAAGGAGTTTATTTAAAAATGACAAAAGTGTATACTCACAAACCAGGAAGAAGGGAGTACGTCTCCCGAAATGCCTTAGATACCCTGTTGCCAGACTACCGGTTGCTCGGACTGTCACATTGGTTCCTAGCTTATTTCATGAATCTTGGTTTGTGAGTATACACTTTTGTTATTTTTAAATAAACTCCTTTTTATCACGGTAATGCACAAGGAGAGTTTGCCCCTTCTTTGCTTTCTTCCAATATATAAAAAAATGAAATATATTCATATATTGAATTAAGTGTACTTCCAAGTAAATGATTCTCAGGTCCTGAAGAAGCGGAGGTACCACAAAACACGTTGACATATGTCACAAGACACATTTTATACTTAGGAAAGATGCTTGTACTTATAGATGAACCTTTTTATAAGTAATTTCAATAAATTTGTAATTTTATATATAATTTCTTTCTGTTTGTACAATCTTTGTGAACCCTGGGGGCATACTCAAAGTGCCACTTCAAATTACCTATTTTTATTGATCTATATATATGGGATGATACCCTGGGAGTTTCAATTCTATGTTTTACTGTATATACCACTCCTTCTACCATATATTTGTATAAATCACAGTTAGAAACACAGATGCAGAAATGAGCCATATTAACTTGACTGTGAGTGATAAGTCTACATTCACACTTGCCTCCTGTGTTGAAACGTGTAAATGCAGGTACATTTAGAATATCAAATCTGCCCCCTGGACACATACATTTCTATTTTCTGTATATGCAAGTAACCAGAATGCATCTAAATGCAGGAAAACACATAGTGTGAATTATACAATTAAAATCATTACATGCATTTACTGTATATGCCTTTAGAAATGTCCTAGAAATACGTGTGTCACTGATATTGTGAGTGAGATGTGTACAAGAAGCAAACTTGTCAATGCCCGGGGCACAGGTGCGTCAGTAAAAAAATTTCTGAAGAATAATATATCCACTTCGCCTCTCACACCTGTTCACCCCCTATGGACCTCAGCAGTTTTTACATTTCTGCTATAGACCTGTTTATTTGGCAATAACATTGTCATTACTTAGGATAATAGGGTAATACATATATTGTTTTTTAAGAACAAACATGGCTTTCTTTTCATGATATTCTTCCAACAATTATTTTTTTTTACAATCCTTAGACAATAAAATGCAACAAAAATAAACAAGCACTTTAATTGAGCAGTGTTAGTTTAAAAATAAATAGTGTTACTGCAGATAAAAAGTACACATTTTGTTCTATAATTTGTCCTGATTAAAATAACACTAAAATTATGATTCTGGTACAAAACATTGCTAAAATTATTAACACATGACATAAAGTGTTTTTTTGGTTTTTTTTTTTCAATTTTCAATTTTTTAAAATGGGAAATTAATAAATATGTGGAAAATATTAACAAACAAAACAAAAATAGTTTAAATATTAATAGTTAATAAAACAGAAATGAAAAAAAAAAATTCAGCAGGAAAATAATAGTTGAAGGGAGAAGGAGCAGAGATGATTTAATTAGCGCTGATTAGAGTAAACTAAGGTTTAATAAGGAATTAAATATTGGATAATTTTTTTATAAAGGAAAATAAATCCTTTTTTAAAAAATGTTAGGTTGATTTAACCAACATCATCTGCAGATCTAAGTTCATTCCTTTGATCTGCAGATAAATGAACAGAATGATACATAAGTAACCTTATGTTAATTTGTATCTTCCAATGAGCCTCTGAGCAGTGTTGTTAGTGAAAACACTGATTCAGACTGTTTTTTTGACAGCTGAATCTGCTGATACATTCTTTGAGTAGGGCTCTGATTAATCAAAGTTGACAATTCCTGTATACTGGAAGGGGGGTCCCAGAAGCAGGGCAAAGAGACAGGACATGCTTCACATGTTCTGTGTACAATGATGACAATTTTGTTGGGCACGCCAAAGGCTGGAATTAGTGAAAGCAGAACTCCAGCTAAACACAAAGATTCAGTACATACTGTATAAGGGAGCATGTTTTACCTGCTAAACAATTTTTTATTTTTCTCCACCCAGTTCTTAGATCTACCCAACCCTACCACATGGTACGGCTAGGTTGTAGGTTTTCTCTACTCCACTGAAAGTCTAAGTTCACCTTTCTGCAGTTAAGGGGCCCCAGTAGTTTAAAATACACCATGCTGTTTGTAAAATATTGTTTATTGCAAATTCCATACCCATGGACTTTTTCTGTCACCGACGGCTACATTCCTATATCCTGGGTTATTGGGCACTCACTCTCAGCATCTCAGGAACAAGTGTGCTTCCTTATCCAAATATTACAGATGCGTCTCTCCTTCCCTGTACCAGCAACACAGAATTCAGCCACTACTAGGTAAGGGGGAGAGAGAGCGCACACTAGACGTGCAGCTTTTGAGTCAGGAAGTGCACTTGCTTCTGTTATGCTGGAGGCTCGCTCCCAACGTCTGCTGTGTCCTGGATGTAGAAATGTAAACATCGGGAGCCAGATGTCATGGTTGATAGAAAAGGCCTATGGGTATAGTTATTCCATTAAACAGCATTTTTAAAAATGACAATTGAACTTTGAACTACCAGGACCGCTTGTCTGCCCAGGCCAGTTTACATAAAAGGTAAACTAAGCCTTTAAAGAGATTCTGTAATTAAAATGCACATTCTTGCATGACATTGACAGAACTTGCTTGGTTGGTGTTTTGACTTTTCTTTTTCTGCATACAAAACAGTTGTATCAGCCTTCATCACAAATAGCTGGACAATCTCTGACTGTGTTTGACAACTGAAGGTGCTTTATTATCACTCACTATCAGATAAACATGATTATTGCAAGTAATAGCTTTAAAGCTGAACTCTAACCAAAAATAACAAGGCACAAATAAACAGCTAAACATAAAAAAAACAAAATCAGCAATATTCACCATCAGTTCAGAGATTTTCCCTGTAGAATTTTTTCCCACTGTATCCTAATTCTGTTGGCCAGCGCCATTCAGCCCAATTCCTCTGAGCCCAGGTCTTCATGGACCCACTCCAGCTTGTAACTGGGCAGTGAAAAGAGAAGCAGGGCTCATCTCTCTGTCACTACTTTCTCATCCTAATAGCATGCTTCTTGCCAGCACAAACTGATTGGTTCTTTTGTGCTGCTTCTTCCTCCTTGTTTTTAAAAAATGCAATTAGGAAGTCTTGATGACTACAGAGTTACATTAATTTGTGTTTTATATTTGTTCAGCTTTATTACAGTGCAGCTGTATTTTTCTTTTTAGTAAAAATAGAACTGTCAGTGTCTTCCACTGCTTCTGTTATAATAAATAACCACAGATGTTGGTAGCAGCAATATTTATTAGTCTACCTGTGGTCACATGGCAACCATAAGCACTGCTACTGTGTTTGTGAGAAGCAACAACAGTAGGTAGAGTGAAGAGTCAATCCAGCAACTGAAATAAAAAGGGCATGTTTATAAAGCAGTAGGCGAGCTGCAGATAAATCAATTTTCTTGATTCCCCCATCAGCACAGTCAGTGTTGATGGGGGAATGACTCCCTCAGCACTATTGTGTTCTGCTTGAGGGGAGCCATCCCGGCCAGCAGAATACAATAATTACTGCTTACAGCTCTTGCTGCTGTCAGTAATCGCATGCTAAAAATCCGACAGGCTTGTTCTACCCCAAATTGGACGATGGCTCAACTTGGGTACAATTAGACTCATAGATGGATCGAATCTTGGCCGGTCCCTGCTGAACTGGCCTGAGATTCAATCCATCTATGGCCAGATTTACATTCCGCAAACATTAACAGCAGGTGAATCTTCCAGGTGCATTTGTTTTTAAAAAACAGTAAATGATTCACCACTAGAGAATGTTCGATGAAAGCTACTTTCAC